GTAGCAGCAGTAGTAGCGGTAGCAGTGGTGGTGGTGGTGGTGGTAGTAGTGGTAGCACGAGAGGTAACAGTAGTAGTAGTCGTGGTGGTGGTGGTGGTGGTCGTACTAATACTACTACTACTACTAGTACTACTACTACTACTACTACTGCTACTGCTACTACTACTACTACTATTACTACTACTACTACTACGACGACAACTACTATTACCATTATTACTAACAACAACAACAAGAACAACAACAACAACAACTATTACTACTACGACGACTACTACTACTACTACTACGATTACTACTATTACTACAACTATTACTACTACCATTTCTACTACTACTACTACTGCTGCTGCTGCTGCTACTACTACTACTACTACGACTACTATAACTACGACTACTATTGCTACGACTACTATTACTACTACTACTATTACTACTACTATTACTACTACTACTACTACTAGTACTACTACTACTACTACTACTATTACTACTACTAGTACTACGACTACTACTAGTACTACTACTATTAATACGACTACTATTACGACGACGACGACGACTACTACTACTAGTACTAGTACCAGTACTACTACTACTACTACTACTACTACTACTATTACTATTACTACTACTACTACGACGACGACTACTACGACTACTACTTCTATTACTAGTATTACTATTGTTGTTACTACCACTGCTACTAGCAGTACCAGTACCAGTTCCGGTACCAGCACTAGTACTAGTAGTAGTTCTAGTTGTTGTTGTCATCGTCGTAGTGGTGCTGGTGGTGGTGGTGGTGGTAGCAGCAGCAGCAGCAGAAGCAGCAGCAGCAGCAGGAGGAGTAGTAGTAGTAGTAGTTTAAAAAAAAGTAGTAGTTTCAGCAGCCGTGGTAGTAATAGTAGTGGTCGTAGTGGTAGTTGTAATAGTAGTAGTCGTCGTCGTGGTGGTGGTGGTGGTGGTCGTCGTCGTAGTAGTAGTAGTAGTGGTGGTGGTGGTAATTGTTGTTGTGGTACTAATAGCAGCAGCAGCAGCAGCAGCAGCAACACTATACCAGTACTCGTCGTCGTCGTCGTCGTAGTAGTAGTGGTGGTGGTGCTGGTGGTGGTAGTGGTGGTGTTAATAGTAGTAGTTGTCGTCGTCGTCGTAGTTGTACTAGTACCAGGAGTACTAGTACTAGTACTAGTACTAGTACTAATATTAGTACTGAACACGAGCTCTGCATGCTTAAGGGCTCGATGGGCTGTGACAGCCTTCCGCCACATGCAACAATGGCATGGGTGCTTGAGCCGTGGCCACACGGCTTCTTGCGAATGCGGAACCTATTGTTTCGCCTTCTTGTTTAATCTAGAACGGCAATCAACAAGGATCAGCAACATCATGGGAAGAATCGTCCACGAACAGTTCAGGACTCTCATCGCATCACCATGCAAATGGTTTGTCAGAAATTGAAACAATGTAGTTTTCACTTTAATCGCGAAGGCATGTCTTACACGTGGTTGGCGGCGCGTCCGATGCATTCAAGTCCCGTTGAGTGTTGCGGAAATTCGAACCGCTCTCCGCTTTGCTAGATGTTCACATTGCGTTGTTTGCAGCGATCTTTTGTTGTGAGGCGCATTGCTTCCTATATCTTTCTATCCAGTGAGCCTTGTGGCCCGGCATGCGTCCGGTTTGCGCGAGCTCCTCGTAGATGCCCGATGGCAAACGAGCCAGGCATACCCACAAAGAATACTTGGGGGGGGAGGGGCGTTTCGCGACGCTGCCAGCCCATTTGGGTGGCCTAGGGCTGCAATCGGCGAGCGCCCGAGCCCGGCAGCGTGCTGGGCAGGTCTGGCGGATGCTTTGCCTGTCATCCATGGCCGACTCCTTGCTGTTGCCGCAAGCTACCGAGCAGCGCTTTAAAGCGGCGGAGGAGGCATGGAGGAGGCGACGCCGACGCCCCAACCTGCGCGCCGCTACCAAGTCCCGCGGGCTGCTGCCTGCCCGAGCGGGCGAGCAATCCTCCAATTAAGGAGCCCGAGAGCACGCCGAACTGGCCGCATGCATGGCAGTTTCACACGTCGCGCACCGGTCTGCATCTGCTGTGGTTCATGGGGAGATATGGGGAGAGTTCCAAACGAGCGTTTTGCGACAGTTGGCTTCGATGCGCACGTAGGCCCATTGGCACGCTGCGTCTAGCTCGTGGGGAGGCGATGATATAGGTGTCCTCGAGGCACGCGAAATCGCCTTCCGGCCCGACAATTGTTTTGCACCTCTTCCGGCGCAGGGTGGTGCAGGGTCTTGCGACTTTGTTGCTCAAGCGACTACAGCACGGGCAGCAGGCTGTCAATTGATTCATGATTCAACCCCCATGTTTTCAGTGTCAAATCGCAATCACGGAAGGATACAAACGAAATACAAACAAAAATGAAGGATTGCTTGGCCCAAATGCAGCCCGTGCCACCTTCGTTCGTCCTTAATTAATTCCGGGCCTTTTGCCCAGCCGGTTGAATTTTCCTTTTTAGCGACAGCTGGAACCGTGAGTCCTGGTCCTTGCTCGAACTTCTCATTTCGGAAACACCACTCGCCTGATTATGCAATACTCAATGCTGAGCTGCGTCTAACTGTAAATCGGTGCGTAAACTTTCACCAAGTGCTGGCTCTAGTTAGAAAAAAGCCGATGCCGAAGCGTTGTCGGAAAAGTTCATGAGAAAGTTGGATTGAACTTTTGACGTCGCACCGATTGCATCGTCGAATGTAATTAAACCTGCGTGGGGACACTCGGACTTGCACAGTAAAGATCAACATCCCTACCTCGGGCATTTATTGTCGTTTATTGTGCGGCAATCTCCGTGAGCGTGCGACCGTGGAACATTCACATTATCATATTCCTGTTGCATGGCGCAATCTTATCTACATCGGCAGAGCTTGCTGAACAAGATTGAACAAGCATGTCTGATTGAATGACAAGTTGAAGCTGTTTCAAGCCGTTGTGACTCTGGCGGTACTGTATGAACTATCAATTTTGCCGCTTGGTGACAAACAATTTACCGACCTTGACGTTGTCGAATCAGCTGCGAAGTCATAAAATCAGACTGGCCTCGCAACTTGTTAATATCAGGAAAATGGTGGCATAACTTAACTTCACGTTGGGATCATGATTTAAATATGTTCGCTGCGACTCACCACCTTGACAGAAATATCGCGCATTGCAAAGCCTGTTCAGACCTTCGGGCGTGCACGTGTTTTAGTCGGCATTCCCCATGTCCTTTTAGGACCGCAGTCTTGGACTCGAACGGAAGCAAAGCAAAGCACCCGCAGCCAACACTTGTGCAAGCGCCCGATCCTTGGCGCGGTCGCAATCGGGACCTCATGCAGGCCACGCTGCAAGGCGCCGCCATGTGGGTTCCCGGCTGGGCGCTCCCCCTCCTCGCGCTCGCTCCTTGCAACTGCCCAAGCGGCGGCCTACCTGGCCACACATGGCTACGTAGTGCCAGACTAGAACGAGGCATCCCCGACATGACGAGCCGACTTCCTTCGCGGCTGGCAGCGCCAAGCTCCCAATGCTTGCGATGAGGGCGCACTCGAGACGCACCTTGCTTACTTGTCCCTTGCGTCCGCACGAGGCGCCGCGTCGATGGGCTGCGAGACGCAAACGGCGGCAGACGTACCCTGAGCTGGACCATAGCCGTCGCTGTCGCCTCGTCGTGTTGGGGCTCGAGGTTGGCGCTGGGTTCAAGAGGCCGCCACCTTCATCCGCCTCCGTGCCCAGGCACGAGACGCTGGCGCTCCAGTAGCATTCCGAGCTCGGCTAGCCGGCGGGTGCTCCGTTAGAACGGCCTCATCTCCGTCGCGGCGCAGTGCGCGCTCGCAGCCATCTTCCTCGAGCTGCCCTTCCAGTCGAAGATCGGTGCTGCTGGCCCGCCCCCAGCCTTGCACAAGCTTCTTGCGGACGCTCGCTGGCAGGAGGCTCCCGTCTACATGGTGGATGGCTCAATTACCATGTGTTGTTGTCTAGTTGATGTAGCCTTGCAGACGCGGCGCGGCGTCTACATGATGAAAGCCTAAAATTTGATGTGACCCCCCCCGCATCGCCCCCTTAAACAGCTGTATTCTTCCAACAAAACGCGATGTGACTAGCTCCATCACTGTACCTGCACAGGGACCCGGTCCCTGTTTGACTTGCTGTCGGAAAATGCTGCGCAAAGTCAAGCAAAAAAAAACCCGGACAGTCAAAAAACATGTAGCGAGCCACTTACCCCGAGTTCGCCCAAGGGGGGGCTCAGTCCCTGTGCGTGCTCGGGTGTGAATTTGGTGGACGCTGGAACGCCTCGGCAATGTCGCTTGTGCTGCAGCCTGGGCTGCCAGGGTTGGACGAAGCACCTGCCGACCCCGTCCGCCGGCTGCCGCTGCGCTGACTGACCGGCCCTAAGATGGGTCCGAGAACAAAACACATGTATGCAGAATCGACCAGAAACGTACAGCACACCTAGTTGAGCGAGCGAAAACTTTGCCATGCTGCCATGCTTCGCCCCCAAAATGGTTCTCGGACACGCCCTGCGGCCCCCCAACGCAGCAGCGGGAATTCGGTCCGGAGCCCTCACAACGGTACAACCGGGTATCTTAAGATAACTGTGACAGTACTGCGACATTCGTTCGATGTGACGAAACAATGCGGCGAATCCGGCACCGAAGGATGTTTTCACCTGTATGCATGGCACAATTTAGGGCAATCATGAGGGGTGCAAAAACTCTACGTGCAGTTACTGACACGATCACCGGGTGTCATTCGGCCGGCATGCTTGTGGAAGTGTGTTGTTTAGTCTATATAGCCACATAACAGAGCGTGCCTGTCTTGACACGGAACGATTGACGAATCGATTTTGCATTGTAACGGTGCCTGTGGACAGGGACCAATCATGAGATTAGTTTGGTCGTGTCATGATGTGACATGTACCTGTGCCATTGCTTCGCCCTTTCGGCTTGTACAGTGTGGTCAACCACGTTTGCACAACACGCCTGGGTGCCGCATGCAGTCTGCTTGGCTTGGCGTTTGAATGTTTTTTTTTCCGCCAATCTTGCACGAGCAAGCAAGGCGCTTCACCTTGAAATGGTGTCGATCAACCTGATTCACCCAGGCCGGACAATGCGGTCCAGGGGCTGCCAAAGCTACCTCAGCGCAGCACCCGCCCAAGTTTAAGCTTTGTTTATATATAACCATTGCAACGTCGAAACCTAGGTTCTCGGCATGAGTTATGCGCCTTGTTTCGTGATGTCAGGTCTTGCTTGGGTGCGCAGTGGCATGCAGCTGTGATTGGTTTGGCCGGTGTTGGAGCCAAGGAAGCATTGCAGGCATCATGCTTGGGGCATGCAGTCACGCATCACGTGCGAAACCGGGACTGGTAATCTGATAACAATGCATCAGCTATACAGGTTGTACCTCAGATACAACCACAGCAACATGCAGTGTGAAGGTGCTGGTGCGAAGATCCGCTTAGCTCCTCCATTTGAAGGCTGGCCAACAGGTGCGAGTACAGTACCGCAACAGCAGCAGCACCAGTCGTTTGCACCACCAGGGCGAGCTACGCAGCTCAACATCAGACGTCAGGCAGCTAAGGCCTGCATGACATGATTTCCCAATATTTCCCATGCAGTGCGGCACTGCTGCGACACATTTCAATGCGCAGGGCTTCCAGAGTGCCAAAGATGCTGGGCAAGCCCCGAAGCGCAACAAGAACAAAAAGAAGAAGAGGGCGTCCGGGCAGGGAAAGGGAAATTTGTATCTTAGTTCTGCAAATATGCCACAATTCGGATGGATAGACTTGTCGTGTCAGGTACCCGTGTGATGCTTCATGTTTGGGAGGACTGTGTTCAGAAGTGTTTTTTTTGCGTTTGCAAGGGTCATCGTGGAACTGTTTTTGGTTTGCCTGCCCATTCGCAAACCGCCGGACCACTCCAACATACTCCAGCTTTCGGGCTAAAGCCTCTACTCTGATACGAGGTTCAGTAGTTCCATCACATATTACCAACAGGAAACTGCTGCCACCTTTTTGCTTGAACTTGTCGCAGAGGTTTGGGACTGTCTCGGGCGTCGATAGCGGTCGGTTGAGGTGCAGCCGAAGAAACAATTAATATTTGTAGTTTCAGACGCTTTGAGTCATGGAAAGTAACACAAAGGCAAGGATAGAGAGCTTTTTGGCCGTGGGGCCACATGCCGCCAGCCCCCAGTCGACTTTGAGTGCAACCTTCGTAGGACTCTTCGAGCGGCAGTAAAACGGCACGGGGGAAGAAAAACTGATCGTGGTTCGGAATCTTGCACATGGCCCTGCCTGCGGATGCGGAGGGACTCGGGACCGGCCGGTCAAGAACACCCTACATCAGCACACCACGTTTTCCATCACAGGCAACTCTCTCCCTGGGCCCGGGGGCAGTGCTTGGTTGATTGGCTTGCCTCGCCTGCCCGGCCAGCCAGTCAACTTGGGGTTTGCCCATGGGGTGACATTGCCATCAGACTGGGGTGACATCCCCACGGTTTGCCACCAACTTCTTCAGCAGCATTCTCGTTAGCCGCACGGTTCACAAACAACTTTGCTGTACCTTTCAATCTGCATTGCTTCGTCGTTGGATTCTCGCCAGTCAAATTCTTCGTGGTTCTTCGTGGCGCGAGTTTCACAGGATGGTATCCCCACAATTCATGTCAACTTCTTTGTGGCAGCACTCGGTCAGCACCGCAGTGGCGCATGTTCCTACTGCAGGGCTCGCTATCGGCTTCCTAATCGGGTGTGCTTTGTCACCGTGGTGGTACTGTCCAGGGTTCGGTCAACTTTGGCGTTTTCTCACTGGTCATTGCGGTCTTATTTGCACGCTTCGCATATGTCAGTTTTCACCGCAGTGGTATCCCCAGGGTTCGCAGCCAGTCAGTTTCTCCGACTTCTTCGCGACAGCAGTATGTCACCACTGTGGACCGCCGATGCTCGCAAAATGCGCTTTTCATTTTCGTGTCCTTGTTCGTATTCTTCTGTTGCTGTTTTGTTCTGTTTTGTAGCGTTATTTCTGTGCTGGTTAAATGTGCCTTAAGCTGCCCGGCCGCAGATGACACCGCTTGTTTGTCCCGGCTCTTGCCCTAGTACAGTCCTCAACTCAATGCAATGTCAACTCAATACGGGCAGGTTTCGTCAGTGATTTACATGAGCAAGCTTCTGACGGAAAGAGAGAGGTGGGAAGGCAGACTTGCGCATTGCCCTCCCGAGGCGACAAAGAAGGTGGCCGAAAAGAAGGCACCGGCTCCAGCCCCTGAGCCCCCAACTCCCGTGGAAGAAGTCGATGTCGATGTCATCGACACCAAGCTGCAGCATGCATGTCCATGAGCTTTCGAATGTCATGGCCAAGAAAGCACATGCAATGGCCTGCACGAATGCAGCATGTAGGTTCATGTACTCATCATAAGGACCCCAACGAGTCAGACGAAGATCGCGAGTTCCGAGAGCGCACCTGGGCTTCATGATTTTCCGGGCTTCCAGATGTTTTGGTGATTCCTTGTTGTGTTTTGTGGGCGAGTGTAGGGATCGTTTCGTACCAAAATCCAACAGATCGAGTTGGGAAAGTTGAGCATTAATGGGTGCACAGCGCCGCCCCAACTAACAAGGCTATCTGTCGGCCGAGAAGGAAGAAATGCCAGACTGGCAAAGCGAGATGAAAGCCGCGAAGACCAAGGAGTGTTGTCAGAGTTTGCTTTCTGCAAGACGGGCTGCGAGAAGGGGTTTGGTTCGTCGGCACATCGTTATGAGCCCAAGCCGCAAGGAGGAACGATTCAAGGCCGAATCACACGGGCTGTCGCGTTGTCTTGCTGGCTCTCTTTCACTGGCATTGGCATGATCGGAGGTGTTTGCAGTCGGTTGCGTGTAAAGGTCAAACGCCTTGTGTATCCAATGTGCGGGGCTGCATGACATGCAGTTCTGCCATGTGCACTCACATGTTGCACAGTGGCATCCCTGCGCGTGCAGGTTGGCTTGCGAGTGGGCGACTTCGGAACCAGTTACCCGAGTGCAGCTGTACAGAGACGAAACCGTTAAAGCAGAGTACTTCCGCTGAGGCTATACAATTCTTTTCCAAGAATTGATTTCGAGTTTTGTCTCCGGAGACAAGGAGCCCAAGAGCGTAGCTGATCCGAGGGAAGCTACAGTGGGAAGCCTTGGCTTTCCTCAAGCGACAGTACACCAGGAGCAACTGGATGATTTTCTTATGGACGTCGGGATTGCGCAATGGCAGCTTGCCCTCATCCAAGTGCCTTGGCTAGACTGTGCTTTTTTCCTGCGACATAAAGACTTCGGCTCACACATATAGCTTCAGGTGCTAACAAGACGGGGGCCACTTCAACCTTGACAATTGACCCAGGTTGAGCCAGCCAAAGTCGTTGAAGCACGCTGAAATTGTTGTTAAAATAGTTGTTGTTGCCACAAAATGCTAGAGCCAGGAAATTGGGAGAGCAACCCAACACAGCTGTGTTGATATTGCGTGGCCATCATGTTAACCGTGAAAACATTGGACCGACATCTTTGGCTGCTGTCTCGTCATGATTCTTGAAGAATCCTCTGCATCTTGTCGCCGCATGTGACATCGTGCAGGTGGTCGTGCTGGCCTTCCCGCTTGCCATCATCACGTATTTTCTGGGCTTGTGGAAATTCTGACGGATCCGCACACAAAGGCTGCAGGAAAATCTGCAGCAGATGTGAGCATCGGGCGTTCGACAGTGTCAGAATCAGTTTCATGAGGGTCTGCGATTAGGGACTAGCGCTGTGCCGGTGCCGGGACAAAAGATTCCCTTAACGTGCAGAGCTTTGTTTTCGATGTTTCATGATGAAGGTCATGGTGAGGAGCACAGACTCGGATGTGTCTTTGCTACATGTAGCAATGTTCTGTGCACATTAATGTGTACATGCAGTTTCTGTGTTGTGGAATGCGTTGCTTTATGCGATGTTAGCAATTTCATACTCGACGACCTTGAAGGCCGAGGCCCCGATTGCTCAGGGCGCCGCGGTGGCTCGAAAAGCTCTCAAATTGGATTATTTTCGGAACGGAGGTGTGACTTTCCGTTTGAGCGCTAACATAAAGTCCAGTCAAGCAGCCTCTTTCATCGACAGCTGTCACCACACTACGATCCTTACGCCCGCTGCTGCCATGTTATTGTCGAAACCCAGCGCACCTGCGACAATTCTTCCTTACAGTCCTGGTTCGAGTGGCTTGCCAAATGCACCGCTGGGGCCGTTGCCCTCACGGACGAGAGGTGGGAGCACGCTCCTTCGGTGTGCTGCATGCATTGAGCAGGGCCGGAATGTCAGAGACCAGGTTGCATGGTCTGCAAACGTCTGCCAGGTTTTGGCCGAGTCTTTTGCAGTCAAGAGTCATGAGCTAAGGTCATGCTTTGGTGTGGTTTGCCCTTTGGGGCTTCGGCTGTCCGCACGATTTTTGCGTACCAGGACTTGGCTGAGAGCCGCTTCAGAGCAAGCTTGAAGTTGATCACCTCTATAACCTAGAATCTCGAACACCACCTCATCTGTCTGCTGCTAGTCCCGGTTGGCGGCCGCACGCACACACACGCACACACACATCGCACGCGCATATGTGTATATATATATATACATACACACACACACACACATACCTCTGCCATGCCCAAGCACCACTCCTTGAAGCACCTAGCCGCAGGAGCCCTCGCAGCCTCAGGATGTCTTCCGTTTCTGGGTCGTCTGGGGGCGTTGAGATTTGGAGGGCATTGCCTGAGCAGATACCTGCCAACTTCGATGAGCAGCTCAGCTTAGTTCCGTCGCAGAAGCAGTCATTTGGCGCGGAGGTTGTCTGGTTGTAATTACAGGCATGCACAGGCTAGGTATGTCCATGCTCGTGCGATGGTTTACCGTGAACAGACGATCAGAAGGAGAAAGTATACGAACGAAGGTGCGGAGCAAAAGCTCTTTTAGCCTTTGCAGCCTCGCTGTGCTGTGGAATTAACAACGAAGCTTCTGGGTTCGGGTGTCCTTGCAGCCTTAGTCTTCGTACCTGGCTCGCCGAGGATGATGAGAAATCGCTATAACGACATAGTCAGAGAAGAGCTGGATGGGACCCCTTTTCGGACACTGGCTGTCATGCGGGTTCCCATAGATTCGGTTCCCGATGTGGGCTTCAAAAGCGACTTCTCGTTTCAGCGTGGCTCCTTGCAGCATTCGGCTGTCCTTCATGCTGAGCGGGAGCATGGCGGCTTTGTCGGATGTGCTGTCAACATACCGAAGGCCGACTATTTGCCGAGAGGGTGTGTTGGAGCAGAACTTCTTTCGGTGACACAGCAGGAGAACAATATTGTTAAGGTAACACTTCGTGGTGTTGCGATGTTGCGTATCATCGACCGTGTCTGTGGGCCTGACGACAACGGTCGTGTTCTTCCCATTGTACAGGAAGTTTTGGAATGCGGTGACCTAGAGGAGAAACAAGGATCAGAAGCTCTGGCACAAGAAATCAAGCTCGTGGAAGATCTGTTTGTCGCATGTGGCGAACTCCAGACATCGACGGGCATTTGGGCAGCCGGAGACCTTGCCTCAAGGACGGTCGCCGACATGACAGCTGTCTCAATGCAGACAGTGGCCGACGTGCAGTTGTCGGGTGTAAGCTCAGAAGAGCAGCGATGGCCAGTGTTAGCGAGCCATGCTGCTATCTCGACCTTTTCTGCTGCGAAGAGGTCTGAATTTTTGTGTGATCCTAGCTCGACACTGCGACGGATTCGTTCACTTAGCAAATTTTTGAAGTTAATGCAGCGTGTCTTGACGCAGAAGCTGCTCGCAAAGAAGGCGTGAGCGGAGAAACGATGGCATTAGTTTGGTTGCTCATTAGTGTCCTGCAAAAACATTAAAACAACATTTCTTGGACTTTCGGAGCTTTTGCGTTGCTGCTCCTTCAACTGGACTCATGATCTGGCTTTTTCTCTGTTGTAGCTCTGCTCTAGCGGCCGCTAGCGGTCCTTGCGTCAATGACTTTTTCGTTTCTTCGCGAGCGCCTTTCAGGTTCAGTGCCAGGCCTGGTATTCAGCATTGGACAGAAACCCCTTCGGCTAAGTGACTGGCCGTTCAGAGATTGGAGCAAAGGGTTGTCACTTACTGTTGTGTTCACAGACTCACCGCGAACATTATTTAATTCCCGTTTGTGAACCCAAGGCAGACAGCACGGCATCTTCCTACTGCTAGAAGATACGACAAGCAAATTCCAACAGTGTCCAGTTGTTAGGCCCCAGAGACCCACCTGCCGGTTCCCGTCGTAGTGCATCCACTGTCGCCAATTTTGTTTAGATTCACCCCACATGCACCACGCTTTAGCAGCTGTAGGACTTTATGAAGGACACCTTGTTTGAGCAATGGGCAACCGATGCGTTTGCCTGCAGACACAGGACGGACGTATCGTGCACAGGGAACTATTTCCGGATATTTTGGGAGGAACTCCAGGTCTGAGTTGAGGTGTGACGACTACTACATCCGACCACTACGACAACGACTACTACCACCTTGCTACTGTTACTGCTTCTGCTGCAGCAACAACAACAGCAACAACAGTAACGACGACGACGACGACGACAACAACAACAACAACTACTACGACGACTACTACTACTACTACTACTACGTACTACTACGTGCTGCTACGTACTGCTACGTATTGCTACGTACTGCTACTACTACTACTACTACTACTACTACTACTACTACTTATACTACTCCTACTGCTACTGCTACTGCTACTGCTACTGCTACTACTACTACTACGACGACGACGACGACGACGACGATTTTCATGCTGCTACTACTATCATACTATTGCTTTACTACTACTACTACTACTACGACGACGACGACTACTACTAGTACTCCTGCTGCTGCTGCTGCTGCTACTACATGGTGACGTTTATGTTGGTTTTGGGGTTTGGTTGTATGGTCAGTGGAATCTGAGTGCTGTTGACCATTGTGGCCCCGCGAGCTGTCATAGGCGTGCCAGGTGGGTGACAAAAACTACTGCTACTACCACTGCGTGACGACGATGTCACGACGACCACCACGACAACTACTACTGCTGGTGCTGCTGTTGCTTTGCTACTGCTGCTGCTGCTGCTGCTGCTGCTCCTGCTCCTCTGCTCCTCTGCTCCTCTGCTCCTCCTCCTCCTCCTCCTTCTACTACTACTACTACTACTACTACTACTAACGACGACGACTAGTACGACGACAACGGCTGCTAGCAACAACAACAACAACCAACAACAACAACAACAACACTACTACATGATAACAATAACAATAGTGGCAACAATGACAATAATGAAATGACAATGATATTTAGTAAATGCAATTATTCGATCTACGACGATGAGACCCTTTCCACGCCATCACCTCTACCACCTTACCACCACGCCGACAACGGCCTCACGACTTCCACGAGCATGATCATCGACATCCACACTAGCTTTTTTGTTTCAGTCATGTTCCTGTTCAAGAGATCATGCAAGGATGCCATCACGGGACCGCGGCTAACAGAAGTGCTAGCCGGCAGGGAGCGTTGGCCTCAGCCAGCCTGTCAGTTTGCTTGGTCCACGGCTGTCGAGGGCCGACCCGGCTTTGGCTGGCAGGTCGTCGCCGATAAACCCGTCGATCCTCGCATCAGAAGGCCGCCAGCAGCTGGCTATGCAGCATCTCTTGTTGTCGGTGCGTAGGCTCCGTGTTCGCAATCTGCCGCAGTGTTCACAGATTCCCGGGAGCCATAGCTTGCCAGGACTGTCCCGATCTGAGGGTGTCACGGTGGTTCTGGAGGGAGGCCAGGGCTTTGAGAGTCTCGGAGCGTTAGTCGGCAACAGGCAAAGGCCCCACGAACTTTCAGTTGCAGATTACGATGGAGTTTTCACAAGCTCGCGCGGGCACGAAGATTCGCAGATGGCAGTAGTGTCAGTAGTACCTTCGGCTTAGTTGGTACGAACTGATGGAACGAAGATAATTGCCCGTCCCACATTTGAGCCTCCTCATGCCAGGTCTCCAGTACACCGGCCAGTGGAAGGGCGACATTCGGGAAGGTGCAGTTCAAAAGCGTAGCCCATAGGTCGACCATTCCTGAACTCTAAACCCTATAACCCATTTCGTAACACTAAACCTGCGAGAATCCGCGAGAAACAACGGATGCTGTGGCCGGCAGAATAATTCGAGAACGTCCCAGGGCTTCGGGATGCGATGTTTTCACCAGTTGGCGTGGGCTAGGTGCGGATGTCAATCTCCACCCCTGCCTGAATCGCCTGCGAAGAATTCCGCACCAGAAGGCAAACTATTTCCGCCAGCTTCAGGGCATGCATAGGCATGTTCCAAGTCTCCGTTAAAGCCATTCGAAACCCAAATGACCCCAATGTAAACCCTGAACTTGATCTGCCACCACCTCCCTCCGGACACAGGGGTGGGTATCCTGCTCCGCCCGGATGGCAACCGCTACGAGGGGCAGCTATCTGGCAGGATATCTTTCGGCTGAGAAGTTTGCAGCTGTCGGGATTTTGGCTTGACTGCATCGCCCCATTTGGCGAGGTTTCTTCCAGCGAGTAAGACGGAGTTCGGGGATAATATTTAAAACATAAATGTCGCTACATCGTGTAGGTCATCCTGACAGCTCGCGATTTTGT